GTCAATTGAGACATCAAAGGAGAAAATGTGATTTTTTAAAATTTAATTTAATTTATATAATTATTTTAATGCAAAAAATAGGATTTTTCAAAGAAAATTCCTAACTTGACAAAGGTAAATTATAATCCCTTGAACATTTTACTGGAGGTAGACCTAGACCAAAGAAGACTTTGGATCAAATTTTACAATTTTTTGAATTCCTTGTGATTTATTAGAATTATTTTAAATTATGGTTTATTTAATAAAAATAAAATATTTTAGGTGGTGAAAATTAAGTTTTATATTTTTGAAAAATCTTCCTAAGGTCAAAGAACTTAGAGGAGCAAATTTTAATTAAAATTTTTCAAAGAAAGATCAATAACTTGACCAAGGCAAATCTTAATCACATTACATTTTTACTAGAGGTAGACTTAGAATAGAGAACCACTTGGACCAAATTTCATGATTTTTGAGTTCAATTTGAATTATTAAAATTTTTTTAAGTTCTGAAGTATTAATTAATTATAAAATATTTTAAATTTGGAAATTAAAGTTTTTTATTTTTGTTAAATCTCTTCAAGCAGAAGGAACCGAGAGAAACAAATTTTACATTTTTTCTGATTTTTCTTTGAATTATAAGAAATATTTTAGTTAGAAATTAATGAAAATCCATTTTTAGCTTTTAAAAATTATTTTTGATCTTTAAAATTCAATATCTTCACATAGAAAATTAGAAAAAATATTCAAATTACTCCTAAGGGCTTGAAAAATAATTTATAACATTTCCCTGAAGTTTATTAATTCTGTGAATTTTATTAATTTTTCATTATTTAAATATTTATAGTATGCTTAAAATGAAAATTTTAATCTAATTACAAATTTACTTTTAGAAAATTCATCTAATCACAGAGAACTCTCAAAAACCAATCTTATAATTTTTTGAGTTATATTTTAATTATTGTGATTATCTTAAGTGTTAAAAGAGGCCTTTAACTAAAAAAAAATTAAATTAGGTTTTCAAATAAACTCCAAATATTTTGAAATTTTTATGGGGAGTTCTCTAAACTTTAAATTACAGTGGAGAATTAAAATCAAGTTATTTAGATGTTCATTTTTCCCAAATTAATTTCCTTCGTGTTTTTGGGTTTTGTGAAAATTAGGTGTGTTCTTAATGACTTAGGTAATGACAAATTTTCCTAGGGTTCTCTGGTGACAATGTACCTATCAAAATTTTCATGAATTTTTCTAAGCAACATGTTAATTACTATGATTAATTTATGCAAATAATAGACATCAACTTGAAAAATACATATCTCCTCATAGGGGTCTCCTCTGACTTTGGAAAAATCAGGGAAGATTCCTCTTGTTAGAGGCTACAAATGACCCAAATAGCATGCCATGGTGAAATATTTAAATGCATAGAGAATTAAAATACTCAAAATAATAGTTAATTAAATAAAAATAGAAAATGAATCAAATTAACCTCAAACCAAATGCACATTGTTCTCCAATGTTCAGTGAGCACTAGATACTTTTCTTTTATTTTTATCATTTTTATACAACAAGATATGAATTTTTGAAGTTAGGGGGTATTTTCTGAATTAATTAAATCTAATTTTCATACTTAAACCACACGGCGCAACAGCATCATACGACGGCTCCGAAGGGTTGTGTGGTGCGCTCTGGTTGCACACCACCTTTCGACTCAGCGTTGACTGGGTTTGCGCGTTATTTACCAAAGCGCTGACCGGCTTCATCTCGCCCATCCGTTTAATACACATGCCATCCAATGGTCGTGAGTCTTCATCTCTGTCTAGTTCATCCTGAGAGCCATCCACCTTCTAGGCTTAAGTACTCGAGCTACACTTAACCAAATCAACTCGGGTTTGTTTCTAAAGACTCATCTATCTTAGACAAAGCTATCTATATGGCTAACATGGCATGAAATTGGATATATTAAAGTGTAGAATTGAAACAACCTCCGGAGAGTGGGGAGGTTTATACATTTTCTCTGAAGAGAGAAGCTTCAATCAGAGGTTCTTGGCATGTTCGTGGAGGTCAAAGGAGGCTAGGTATTGAACCTCTTTTTATAGTGAAATGTCTAGAACCAAATTCAATCAAGACCAAATTTGGGTGTTGAGCAACATCTAGGGTAGAGGCTCTGTGGAAGGTGGATTTGATGGGGCTTTGGCTTCTTTCACTCTTGTGAAGCTTTGGGCACAAGCAATTGAAGTTTGGTAGAGTGCGGAGGTGTATTGGGTTCTGTCCGGGTTTCCGGCAGGGTTTCAATCTCAAAATTGAGCTCCGACAATGGGAATGGGTGAGGGAAAATGGTTGGAATGTACTGAGGGGATCTTAGGGAAGCTCTGTATAAAGTTTG